TCTGGCTGGCAGGGAATAAATCATGAGAACCATAGGCTTGATATCGGAGAGAAGGGTTTTCACACACTCCGATTCTCATATTTTTCGTCTAATACAAAATCAAGATGAAAAAAAAAACGAAGAAGACGAAAAACGGGAAAGAAGAAGGAGGGGAGATTCGTGTATAGATTCTTAATAATTGGTTAGAGGAGAAGCTCGAAAGAGCTCGAAAGAGAGAGGGAAGGAGCCAACAGGACTCAAACAAGGCCTGTAATTAGGAGTTCTAGAAGGAAAAAATAGCGGGAAAAGAAGACAGAGAGGAGAGCTCGAATTCGATATTTTCACACTGGAAAATTATAGAGAGAGTAGTGGAAATCTGATGGCAAGGTGCGGAGGAGGACGATTGTTTTTCGTTATTTGGGGAATCGAAGAATCAAGAAGTCAGGGAAGAACAGAGCTATACCAGAATGCCAGGATCCGGAGAGCCAGAGCAAAAGGACAAAATCGATTTTAGAGTTTTTTGAGCTACAACAGAATACCAGAAGCCCAAAATCCTGTGGAGTTCGATTCATACTCTGAATAATCTTGCTCCTGGAGCCAGGTTTTGGGCATGTTATCTAAATTCTGGCCAACTTTGTCCCTTGATATGTACAACATTTACATGGATTCTAACCGATTGGGGATCAAAAATATCAAGAAACATGGGGAAAAATCATCGATAGGTTATATCTATTGGGATAGCGGATCTTGGGCAAGCTTAGGGCATATTGACCTACGTAAGTCTTCCTTGGCACTTAAAAAATCACGGTAACGGTCGAAGTAGAAAATTCTCCGGTCTCGAGTCATATTCTCAAAATTTGAAATTTCGGCATTTTTTGACATTTTCTGGCATTTTTGAAAATTTTTGAGAGTTTCAAAAAGTTTTGAAACCAGCTTAAGGGTAGAAAAACTTAGAAAGTTTTCTATATTACAAAATTCCAAAAACTTACAGTACCGTAAACAACTACGTATTCTTTTGGTAATTTGGCAAAAAAGAGGTGTCTTTCAGAAATCGGCAAATAGCTGAAAAACTAGGAATTTTCAAAAGATTCTATAAATGCAATGTTTTCAATCTAGATCTGTCTTACGTTCTTCAAAACTTTGAAAAGAGATAGGAAACTTGACAGGTAAGCTAACGACTTCTGAAAATGATCAAAATCGCCGAAAATCCAGCCAAGAGGGGCCTGGGCGGCAGTATGCTACGGACAGCTTAAAGATTCTACGAATCTCATGAAACCTCGGTAAGAACCATGGAACTCTGAATATTTTGAAACCTCTTTCCATTCTGAGGATGACTTCTAAAATTTCCGACCAAACCTCCTTCTCCTCCCCTTTTTCCCAATTTCCATCTATCCCAAAAAAGAAGAAGAAGACGTCCCACACCATTTTTCGCGCTCAATCTTCTCACCGTCCGTTTGACTTCGCATTGGCAAAGATTGACGAATAAATTGGAGCGACGAAACGAAAGAAGAAGACGGATTTTTCGAGAAAAAAAGAATCATGGAATTTTCGAAAGGAATTATAGTGGGATAGGGAAAAAGAGGGGGGATGTGGATGGATATATTTCCAAGTACGAATAGAGGAAGAGGAGGAGGATTTTGGAGCAATTGAGCATTTTGAAATTGAGAAAAACGCCAAAAAGCTGGTGGAACAAGGGGAAGAGGGGGGTGGAAACAAAAACTTGGGGGACATATAAAAATTTAGAAATTTTATTGGAAGAATATGAAGCTAGGGTGTTCTGAGGGTTCCTTAAGATCTACTCTTTAGACTTCTAGTACCGTAAAGCCTGTATCAGAAGGGCCGGCCCTTATATTGTTCCAAGGCACTTTTGGAGGGCCCTTCAATTAGGGATGCCTTTCTAATAAAGGTTTTAACCTCCTAATACAGGTTCTATAGTAACTGAAGTTCATTTTTGATGCCATTTTTTCAAGCATCACAACCTACCCTTCTTATTTATGAATACCAAAAAAGGGGCGGAGCTTCTGGCGTAAATTTTTAGATCCCAAATATTACGATTTGCGTCATTCAAAACTTTTTACTATGCTATGAAATCAGTGGAAAACACTTTTAAAACTACAAGAATTATTTTAAGACGGACTAGGAATACAATATTGCAATTTTTTGATACAGATTTTTGATAAATCAAAATACAAAGAAAAAAGTCAAAAATAAAAATCTAGACCCCAAAATTGAATTCCCAGTGGCAGTCTCATCAAAAATATTGCCAAAAATCCCAGTCTAGGTAATTATTTTTTTGGGATTTTGTGAGAAAAAAAAATGCAACTACGTGCCAAAGTAAACAGGAATTTTAGGATATTTTGCAGTTGTGATTGATCCTGAGAAAATAAAAATCCTGATATCATTTTTTTTGGAAAAGAAAAAATATTTGGCTCCAAGGTGGGCAACGGCCGGCCGCAAAATTTCGATTAGGGTACTTCTGGGAGAGGTAGGATACGGTGGCCTGATCCTAGCCACGGCCTGAATCCCAGCCGGCCGCGACCGGCCGCAGCTTTGCTAGGCTTTAAAACCAAAATCGTCCATTTATGTTCAGCTCTTTTTTGTTTGATGACAGGGATTGAAAAATGATGCGTTTTCTCTTTTTAGGAGAAAATAGAGGGACGGGGCGTTAAGTGAATTTTCGAATTTCAGGGGAGGATGAGCAATGGTTTCGGATTTCTATAAAAACGCAAAGGGAAGTGAATGAAATCTGGGAAACATTGAATTTTAGGCTAGTTACTCTGTTTTAAAAAAAAATTTGGATTTTTAAAAATTTTCGGATTTCATAGACAACTTTGGATTTCAAGGTGGTGTACGAATGGTGGTGTACGAAGAAATGGTGGTGTACGAAGTTAATATTTTTGTTTCTTTACCAGCTAGCTGGTGCACCTACGGCGCGGTTTAATCTAGTCAACTTCGGAAAAGTGAGGATATATTTTTCGAATTTTTCTTCATCTTTATGTCAACCTACTTAATTTTCTGCACAAATAAAATTACTAAAATTTTTCACATCATCTTTAAGCCTAAAATAACAGTAATTACCAGTAGCGTCTACAAACTTTTTCACTCCATAAATCAAACATTTCGCTGCTTAGCAACTTTGCGAAATTTCAAAAAAAAAACCCAAAACCAGCAAAAATCTCAAAAATAGTGAGAGACAGAGAACGCAAAAAATGTGAAAATCCTGGATTATCCCAAGGATCTCTAGATTGATTTTCTTGTCATTTTTTTGCTCTCCGACTTCAGATGAGAAAAAAAGAAGACGTGCGCTTTTTGCATCCATATTCCCGTTTCGTTTCCATGACAAGAGCTGCTCATTTCATTTTTATTTCTTTTGTGTCCCGTTTTCCGATTACGACCTCTATTTTCTGAAAATAGTATAGAAATGCATTCGGAAGTCGGGATTTTTATTAGCTGCACGAAAAAAACATGGATACGTGGTTTCTAGGAGAAAAAACGGTGACTAAAAAATCGGGATTTATGTATACAAAAAGGTTTGGAAAATAGAATTTTGAATCTAGACTAAAAAATTGGAGTCGTAAAGTCTGAAGGAGTAGCTGAAATGTAGTTGTCAGAAGTTTTTGAACGGATCTGTGAATCTTAAGAATCCAAGAGATATTCAGGGGATCTGAGATCCTAAGAATCAGAAAATTGTGTATTGGCTCATAAAGTATAAAAAGTAAAAACTCAAATTTTCTAAAAATTAAAGTGGACTGAATTTTTCCAGATTTATTTTCACATTTCAAATTCGTAATTACTGGTATACAAATCATACAATACGTTTTTTGTAAATCTCAAATATTACGATTTGCGTCATCTATCATCTATTTCAATACAAACTAATGATATCAGTAAATCAGAGCTTTAGAACTACAAAAATTATTTCGGGAGAGTGACTAAAAATGCAATTTTCGCACACCTTTTATCATGAAGGAAATTCTTCCACAAACTTTTTTTTCGAAGTTTTGGAATTTCGAAAATTTGGAATTTTGGTGATTTTTTTGAAAAGAGAGGAGCATTTTCGCAAACTTCGATTTTCAAAATTTTCCAAATAAGTTTCGGGTTTGGAAGTAATAGAACTGGTTTTCAAAAATTATATTTTTTGATGGTAGAAAGATGGTAGGATAGTTTGCTCAAAATCGGTAGAGCTTAATTTAAAACTTCAATTCGATGAACTGATAAAGTTTTTCGCAAAATTTGAAATTATCATTTTTTCGTTTTTTGATGTCAGATACTGGATTTCCATCCAAACCGTAAATGTTAAGCTCCGTTATCTCAATTCCTATGCAAGATGTAAAGAATATGTCAACTGATAAAATATTGGTGATATAACAAGTAGTGAATTTCAAAAGTTTTAATTTTCACATCAAAGTACTGAAATTTCAAAATTTTTTGTGAGCCACGTGAATCTTTTGAATCTCCCAAAAGATGGAAAGATTAACTTTTGAAAATCACTACTTGTTATTTTATGATAAACAATTTATTAATTGACAGCTTTTTCATATCTTTGACAGGGACCGAGATTAATTTGCTCAAAGTTGAAAGTTAGAGAGCCTTCTATCATAGGTTTTACTGCAATCATTAATAATAACAATCACCAGATTCTGCATGTGCGTATGTATGTAGCGCGCCTTTACACCCATTCAAAGTTAAGCGATTGAGCTGAAACCTGGACATATAGATCAGAAATGTGTCTTTGTTGATGCCCGCACTTTCCGTTTTTCAAAACTTTGATTTTGAAGTCTTCTGAAGACGTTCCTTGGTTTCAGGTAGCCCCGGAGGGGGCATAAACCGACTGGTAAGATTTTGATTTGAACAATTCGAAAACTTTTCTCAATGAAGTTGATTTACGGAAACACTGGTTTTGGAGCATTCTATACTTTTCCACCATTTCATTCAGTCGTTGTTATAATGTCTTTGTTCTTCTCGATCTGATCAATTCGAAATCTCTCCAAAATTCTCCTCTTGAAATTTCGAAAACCTCCTCATCCACCTGATTTCTTTTCAAATCTATTAGGGCGTGACTCTTCTTTCTTTTTCTCTCTTGAACCCATCTTCACAACAATAACATGACTCATCATCTCTATCTCTTCCGTTTTCACTCCACTATTTCTCTTCTTTTTCGATTTCAAAACCCTCTCTCTCTTCATTTTTCTCTCTGGTGACTATCGAATTCTATATATATAACTGGTGATGTGGTTTGTTTTAAATTGTCCTCCTTTTTGTGTGGTGAATTTTTTTTTAACTTGAATTTGAATTTGAGATTTTTATTTTAAATGAATTCGACGAAAAAAATTATAAATCCGAAAAGTGGGATCACACCAACCGTCTCTTTTTTTGCCTACATGACCTTTACCTTTTAAACAATTTATCCCGGTTCCTTGAAAAATATGGAAAGTATGTCAACTGACATTTAACATAATACAACCAATATTTTATCAGTTCGAAGATTTTTGATATCTCTCCTAGGAACCGAGATAATCGAGCTCAAGGTGTGCGGCTATCAGAGCACTTACGGTTTGCCCTTAAATTCGAAATTCTTTCAATTATTTTTTTCGTATCGACCTATTTTTACATTTCCTGCGCACCCATTTTTTCTCATTTTCCTCTCTTTCTCTAAACCTCTTCTCTCTACCCAAGTTTTCATATTTTCTGACCCACTATTTATTCTTCTTTAACCTCTTTTTCCTCTTTTTTTTTCTTCTTTCTTTCCCACCAGTTTTGTGTTACATAATTTTTTTCGACTACCCCTTGGTACTTATTGCTTATTTTCAGTCAAAAATGTCCGGAGCACCACCGCCATACACCTCTCAGCCTCAGCCATATGGCAATGTGAGTTATCGAAAAACGCTGAAAGTTGGTATAAAATTTTTAAACGATTGGGTTTTCAGGCAGGTTACGCCCCACAAGGACACAATCCATATCCACAACAAGGTCCGTATCCACAGGGGTATTATAATCCGAACCAACCACAAGTCATGTAAGTTTTTTGAAGTTTTATAATCTTATTTAAAGGTGGGGGACATAAGAAAAATACTTTTCTTATAATTTTATTCATACAAGCACCACTAGGAGTTGAACTTATGGACCTAACGCGGGAGGCACCACGTCGCTACCAGCTGAGCTACGGTGGCGCAATTCTCAAATCAGAATACATACTGAAACTCCGAAAAATTCCCGAAAAATCTCATGTCTGCAAGTTTCCGAATTTTAAAGCTTATGATTTCGTTTAGTGTTCAACGTTCTAAAGCTTTATTTAAAACCTTTTTTGTACACTACCAAGACTACAGTAACCCCAATTTGCTCATCTTCAAAAATCTACGCTTTTCCATTTCCCTCTTCCTACAAAATAAAGGAGCCTAAAAACCACATTTACCTCTGTGCCCCCCTCCCAAAAAAATTGTCTTTGTTTGCACAGTGTTCATTTTCCGGGCGGCAGAATTTATTGGGAGCGAGGCATTTCTATTTGCGAGTTAAAGACAAGAAGAAGAGAGGTCATAGGAAATACGTGAGAAGAGAGGCGGAAATCTGAACACACAGATAAATAGGCAGAACTTTAAATGATGAATTGTTGATGTTATGTCCTAATTCGAGAAAAAGTGGCACCGATTTTCAAGGGAGCTGGATTTCGTCAACTTTGAGCCAATTTTCTGTTCCTGTCAAAGATAGAAAAAACAGTCAAGTGATAAATTTTTTATAATAATATTAGAAGTGTTTTGTCAGTTGTTCTCTTTTTGATAATATTTTTTCAGGAACCGAAATATATAAGCTCAAAGTTGACGGACAGGGTGGGCTTCTATTATGTACATTAGAGCCCCACTGCACTTGAACATTGAGCTCAACTATCTCAAGTTCTATGAGAGATATCAAAAATGAGTTAATTAATAAAATATTGATGATATTATGATGAAAACTTTATCAGTTGGCAGATTCTTGTTATCTCTCATAAGAATTAAGATAATTGAGGTCTAAGTTCAAGTACATGCTGGCCTGATGTTTTTGTGTGTTACGGTAGTTGTCGAGCCTGAAAATTGTCATCTCCCGATCTAAAATCGACCGATTTCTCATCTGAACTCAAAAACTAAACTTCCGAATGTAATGGTGCTAAAGTTTCTATATTTCAATGAAGTTTTGTGAAATCTTTAAACTTTAATACCAATTATTTCTAAATTCCAGATACGTTCAACAACCCGCCCCTCAACAACAACGCCAATCCGATGATAACTGCTGGTTGACTTCAATTCTCGCCCTTTGCTGTGGATGTCTAATTGGAGAAGTTTGCTGTGATAGTCCGATGCTCTGCTGTGTCATTCCATGCCCAATTCGTCTTCCTAGATTCAGATAATCTAATTTTGTCACATTGTATATTTTTAACATGCATTTTGACGGGTGAATTAAGGCCTCCTTTCTGATACCCACCCTCCCCTCCCTGAAAATTCTAAATAAAAGACTTTGCTAGTAGTTACTCTCGTGCCTATGACACCACTCGATTGCCATTGATGCGCAACAGAAAAAAAACTTGTTCCGCGGGGTCGACGCACAGGTAAAGGGAGACAGACAATTTTAACTGCGCTCGCGGGAATCAAAAAATTGGCAACCAATCAGAGAGAAGAGAAAGTTTTTTTATTGTCTAGCAGGGAGATCTAGATTTTGAAAAATTTGTAATCTTTCTGTATTACCGAAGTCCCAGGTTTTCTCGATATCCGAACTGTCAGCTTTAAGTTCAATTATCTCGGTTCCTGACAAAGATTTCAGAAAGTGGTCAACTGTTAAAATGTTTATTATGATATCAGCAAAATTTTAACAACTTACAAATTTTAGATATCTCTCATAGGAAATGAGATAAATAGGCTTAAAATTGACAGTCAGGGTGGGATTCTGTTAGAGCCCTTACACTTTGAGCTTATATAGTATCTCGGTTCCAGTTAAAGATATTAAAAAATAAATAACTAACAAAATGTTTATCATAATATAAGAAACATTTTACTAATTAACTACTTTTTGATATCTTTTACAGAAAATTAGATAAATAAGGTCAAAGTTAGTAGCCAGGGTGGGCTTCTAAAGAGCACTTGAATCCGGGCGATAGGACCCTTATAGCCATCCGAGAATTTAGATACTGTGTCATAAAGTCTATTTTTCAAGTTTTCATTTGTTTAGATCAGTAAACCTTTCCAGCCAAATTTTTCCAGACCCATCTAAAATCAGAATTCTCGTCGTTCTCCTGCCCCATTTCCCCATTTCCTCCCATCAAGGTCGTTCATCAATTTCTTCTGAAAAAAACACAGTGTCCCCTATTTTCTTGCTTTTCAGTGTCTCCTTCCTTTTCATCCGAACAAAGACCGTCAGAATTAGATGGGGAGAATGGGTAAATGAGAAAAAGTAACACTAAAAACCCGCACTTGAAAAAAGGTTGTTGGGCGCCGCCGTCCGAAGACGCCGGACAAGCGGACGATGGGGGGAAAACAGAAGAAGAAGAAGAAAAAGAAGAAGAAGAAGGCGTTGGAGTAGAAGAAGAAGAAGAAAGACGACACGACAAAATAGAATAGACAGCAGTGCATGCGATTGTATGCGGAAAGAGTCTATGTGATGGTGTCACGCGTGCGGAGAGTAAGAGAAATGAAGACAAAAAAACGGAGACATGAAAAACGACAACGATGGGAGAGAGTCTATTTTTGTGAATTATTATATGTGCTGTGCGGAAAGAAAAAACATAATAACGTAGTATTAAATACTACGTTTTTTTCCTGGAAAAAATTTCGTCTTGGCTCTCTTGGCTTTCACTCTCAAGTTTGAGCTAATTAATCTTATTTCCTATAAAGTATATCAAAAAGTTGTCAACTACAAAAATGTTTATCACAACATCAAAAATGTTTTATTAGTTGACTACTTTTTTATATCTTTAACGGGAACCGAGATAAATTGGCTCAAAGTTCGGGGACCCTTCTATTACAGGTTTAACGGTATGTTATATCTGTATCTGTGTCCATATGTCATCACTGTCGTTTGTAAAAACACAACCCCATCCTTAAATTTTTAAAACTTTTCTTCCATGTTATAATAATTATAATTCCGTAAATAACAATTTTTTCAAACTTTAAAAACGAGTTTTCGAAAATTCTCAATTTTTTCCAATTTTTCTGACAAAATTTGTAAGGCAATTTTCATCTGCATCTGTTATAGTTTCCATATTCAAAAATGGCTTTGCACTAGCTTCAAAATGAGTATAAACACGACTAGGCTCCGCCCATTTCGAAGTTTGGGTTTAAATGCACAATGGGTTCCGAATTTTGAAAATGGGCGGAGCCTAGGCGTGTTTATACTCAATTTGAAGCTCGCATGATGAGAAATTGATATATTCAAATTTTGTTGAGTTTAAAGCAAAACTGATTGAGTTACGGTATTTCGACAGTTTTTATTTTTGAATTTTCCGTTGCCGAAAATCGATGTTCTGAAAACTTTCGCAATAGATTTGTTTTAGAATTCCAAAATAATTTGATTGTGAAAAATAGATTTTCCAGGTTCCAGAGTTGACAACATATGTTCTTCAATTGTTAATTACCCTATGTGCTCAATAAGAAGCCTACCCTATACATACACTTTGAGCTCAATTATCTTGGTTTCTTCGGAAAATATCAAAAAGTTTTCAACTGATAAAATTTTTATCATAAAATCAACAATATTATAGAGCACGTAGAGGAGAAGCTCTAATAGAAACCTTCCCTATATGCGCGCTTGATCTGAATTTACTGCGTTCTTTTAAAATATATCAAAAAGTGGTCAACTGGTAAAATGTTTATCATAACGTCGCCATTATTTTATCAGTTGACAGATTTTTGATATCTGTTACAGAAACCGAGATAATTGAGCTCAAACGGGGGTGGGCCTCTATTAAAGTTTCCAATTCCCACTTACTGTCTATCCTTCAAATGTGCTTGAATGAATTTCAGAGGGGGCTATAGGGTGGGCTTCTACTAGATCATTTCCGGTATTCTGAAGCTTCCAAAAATCTGAAATTCAAATGCCCCTAAACCGATCCCAATTCCAAAATTTTCCGACTCTTTTTTGCCTCTCCTTACTCCTAAACTTTTCAAACACCTCAACATATAGCAGGAAAAACCCAACAACCTCCGACCTTACTGCTGCGCGGGGCGCCGCGGCCGATTAGTTCTCACCGAGAGGGAGAGACTCCCCACATCTTATTACTTGTTTAGTTTGCCCCAATCGAAAAAAAGAGACATGGGGAGCGAGGGAGAGAGGCGAAGCGTTTCGTTTCAACAGTACGCGGAGAGGAGAGATGAGAGACGCGCGGTGGGGGGACATGGGCAACAGAAGAAGAAGAAGAAGGAGATGGCAAAGGTTAAAGGGCGGGAAGAGACGTTAGAGAAGCGAAGGAGCAGAGCGCCGGCGTCCGTATGCACAGCGGAGAGACCCCATGCCTCTGCTCCTCCTATTATCCCTATTTTCCTCTAGCTTCTCTGGCGTCTCTCCCGCGGCGCCACACTATTTCTTGACGTAACGCGCGTCGCGCTCGCTCCCGCCATCGCGCCCTCCTCCGCACACTTCTTCTTCTTCTTCTTCTCCTTCAGAAGGCCCCCTGTGTGCTTGCTGTGTGTCTGCAGTATGTGTGTGAGTATATTTTGTTACTTGCCGCCTCCCAACCGCACACACATACTACCAACACAACCTCCTCCCATTTTTTTGCCTCCCCCTCTTGCCATTTTTTTCTATTTTTTCCCACACTCAATGCAGACCAACCAACCATCATACCATTTTTACCTTCCCATGATTATCTTTCCTGAAAAAAAAGGGGCGTGATCTCTTCAAAGGTTCTCCTGGACACCTGTTCCGTTTTTTTCCAATCATCTGTTTCGTCTACTGCGTCTCCTTCTTTTCATTTTTTTTTGTTCAAAATTTTGAAATTGATAACATTGACTTTTTTGCATCCTCTCCCTTGTATTCTATTTACCCCCAAAAACCAAAAAATTCCAGAATGACAGAACAGTCAGAAGACGCGGAGGATATTAAACCCACGATATCAACAGCCCCGGATGATTTGATGGAGTCGGATCCCATGAAGGATGTGAGTTAGAATACTGTGCATCTTTGAGCTCAACTATCTTGGTTCCTGTAAGAGATATCAAAATTTTGTCAACTGATAAAATGTTGGTTATGTTATCCCCAATATTTTATTTTATAACAAGTTTTTGATAACTTTCCCACAAACCGAGATAATTGAAATTCAACTGTTTGGGTGTGCTTCTGAACGCCACTCTACACAGATAATTTGAGCTCAATTATCTCGGCTTCTATAAAAGATATTAAAATTTTGCCAACTGATTGAATGTTTATCATATCAACACTTTTGTAGTTTACAGATTTTTGATATCTTTTAAGGGAACCGAGATAAATGAGCTCAACGTTAGGTGGGCTAAATGCTCGAATAGAAGCCCACTATACGTTCAATTCGAGCTCAATTATCTCGGTTTCTTTGAAAGACATCTAAAATTTGTCAACTGACAGAATATATTTAATATCCTAATAAACACTTTATCAGTTGACTACTTTTCGATATCTTCTGGAGGAACCGAGATATACAAGCTCAATGTGCAAGTATAGGGTAGAGTGCAATCAGAGTATTAACGGTATCCCTGTTTTTGGATGCGTATTGCCTACAAATCAAATTCTTGAATCTTCTTTTTCTAGGCCATACTAGAGCACTTTCAAATTTTTTATCCCAAGTCTAGCATTTTTTTTGCTGTGCCTAATAAATTTTCTTCTCCAATTACTGGCTCCTTGGCGAGAGACCAAGGAGTCTTCTCAATACTCTTCACATGTGTTTTATACTTTTCACTTCCCAGACCAACATACTAAAAATCCTTCAAAAAAAAAATCAGCAAACATAAAAACGCTCTCTTCTTCTCCAGATTAACAATTTCCTTATGGCGAGCAACGGTCGGAACATGAAAATCGAGGAGACGCCCGTCTTCAATATCCGACTAATTGCCGAAGTCAAAGCGAGGCCTTTTTTATACGACCAGGCTGACGAGGGGTACAATTTGCTGTCGTGGCGGAACTCGGCGTGGAATGAGATTGCTGAGAGCCTTGAGACGACTTGTAAGCAATTTAGGGCTTCGGAGATAATTGGGAGCAAAATTAAGGCACAAAATTCGGAGGGTGTAACAATTCTAGAGTACAAAAGGGCCGTTTTTCAGGTGTTTTATACCCCTTAATTGATTGAACCCTCCGAATTATTCGCCAAAAATTTGGAAAACTATGTTCAATTCTATAGGCTTCCAAATGCCAATAAACCATTGTTTTCGTTCCAGCTGAACACGTGAAAACGCGATGGAAAACCCTTCGGGACCGATACAAAAAAGAGGAGAAAAAGGAGCGGACCAGTAAAAAACAATCGAGTTGGGTGTTCCAGAGGCCGCTGAAATTCATTCAAGCACATTTGAAGGATAGACAGTGAGTGTGAATTGAAAACTTTAATAGAGGCCCACCCCGGTTTGAGCTCAGTTATCTCGGTTCCTGTGACAGATGATGATAGTCTGTCAACTGATAAAATACTTGTTATTTTATCACCAAAATTTTATCAGTAGACAAAACTCTGATATCTTTTAAAGGAACTATAATTGTGCTCAAAGTAGATGGTTTGGGTTGGCATCTATTAGAACAAATACGATAGTTGAAAATATTATGTTCCGTTGTCTAAAAAATATAGTCAATCAATTCCGATGAGCCTGAAAAGAAGTTGTCAATTTGTAAATTAAAGATCTTTTTCTGGTTTAGTATGATCTAGAATTTTCAAACAAATCGGAAAATGTTGAACAACTGTTCAGGGACTTCAAGGTTAACATGTTGTCATCGTGAAGTTTTGGACAAATGGAAAACTTCCTAAACTCATTTTCTCGAAGTTCTAAAATATCTGTATCAAAGAAACAAAGATCAAAAACTAGAAATTCAGAAAACAATTTAACATTAGCTTCCTGTGAAAGATATCAAAAATGTATCAACTGACAGAACACTTCTAATATTATGATGAACAGTTTATCAGTTGACAACTTTTGTAAATCTTTGTCAGAAACCGAGATAAATTGGCTCAAAGTTGAAAGACAGGGGGTCCTTCTATTACAGGTTTTACGGACAACCTGATTATGCAAAACTAGTTTTTCAGACCTCTATAACTACTTGAATAACCCAAATCCTCATATTCCAGCACCGATGAAACCGACTCCAACCCCTCCTCCGATCACTCAATCAAGAACGAAGCTGGTAGTGGTCCAGGCCACGTGTCTCCAATGGAAGCAGCCATGTCATTCATCGAAAATGAATTGATTCGAACCCAAGAAACTCATTCATCAAAATCCTCAACCGATGTGGATTCCAGCTCTGCTTCCACCGCTTCTAGCTCCTCCTCGAAAACCGGCGGAGCTACATCCCAAGAAAGAGCCGATGGTAACGTTGTGACTCCGCCCCCTTTGCCTATTCCCATGGCGGTGACACCTTCTCCATCTGCCACGTCATCAGCTTCAAATAATGGACTGCAAGGACCGCCGGCGAAGAGGAATCGAGTTTCGTTGACTGAGGGATTGACTCCATTGTAAGTTTTGATTTTTTTGAGAGATCAAAAATCTGAGGGGGCTAAGCTATTGAGCATTTCCTGAAGTTTTTTGTTTTCTGACTTTTTCTCCTGAAAAGGGAGAAGTTGACGAGTCAACAGAACCGTTCTGAACTTTGACAAGAGGAAGAGAGTGACAAAAAGTAAACAAATTAGATCGTTCGGGAAATGTCTGCGTCTCGGTTTTCGCCGATTTTTTTTTAAAGCAAATATAAATAGAACAGTTTTTTTGGGACTAGAATGTTTGGGAACTATTTGGAAATTCTAGATTTTTGAAAATTCTAAAAATTCTAAAAGTAAGCTAGCCTTCTAACTACCTGGTTGTGTCTGTAAATGGCGAAAAATCAATTAAATGTAGACTTTTTCAAAATTTGAAGTTCCATGAAAAATGAGCTGAAATGGACCAAAAACGTTTCAGTTTTTTGTATTACTTTAGATTACTGTAATTTTCAGTTTTCAAAATTTCAGGATTACCGTAGAGTACTGTAGCCTTGAGATTTTGGAAATTTCGAGAATTCGAGATTACTGTAGTTTGGGAGATTACTGTAGATTTTCAAGCTTGCATATTTTCAAAATTCTTTGATTACTGTAGTTCAGGATTACTGTAGATAACTGCAATTTCAAGTTTTCTGATTTTCAGCGTTACTGTAGTTTTCGAATTTCGGAATTTTCAAAAGTTCAGGTTTACTGTAGTTTGGAGTTTTCTGTAGACTTTAGAATTTGAAAATGTTAAAAGCTTAGGGATTACTGGCATTTTTAATTTTTGAAATTTCAGGATTACTGTAGTTTTCGATTTTAAAGATTTCGGGATACATTAGCCCCCAGTTTTTGAAAACTTACGAATAAGAAAACCTACAGAAACCTCCAAACTACAGTAATCTACAAACAACAGAAATCCCGAATTCATGAAACTTCCAAAATTTGAAAGTTACAGTAACCTTGAAATCTTGAAAATTGAGCATAAGCTTTTCAAAATTTGGAAATTTCAAAAAATCAGGATTACTATAGCTTTCAATAAGGATAAAAGTCATGAAGACCTTACGAGTTCCAATGTACTTGGAATCTTGGGATCCTAAAAATATCGATCATAAATTTGAATTTTTCGAACCAAAATCGCAAAAATCCCAATTTTGAGATCAACCCGAAACGCCGCCGTCGCCGCTGCCACCAGTCTGGGTCTCACATTTTTACCTGGTCTCTCGCAATGGGGAACGACTCGTGAGGAAGAGGAAGATGAGATTTTTGCGAGAATGATTTCGATAAAATTGAGCAAGTTGGACGCCAGAACTAAAGAAGTTGCCAAACTACAAGTTTTGAAAGCAATCTTCGATGCCCAATTCACGACTCCACCCACAACCTGAAAATCTTGAAGCCGTCCCAAAGAAAAATTGTGAAAAAAGTAGTCGTGTCTGATGCTCATAATCTTCCTCCAAAAAAAATTTCACTTCGCACCGCCCATGTTTTTACTGTCTTCTCTAATTCACTATATCTCAAACTTTTTTATGCATCGCTACTATTATTGTTTTTCTCTCTATCCTTTAACCCGAGTGTTATAGCTTTTCGTAAACCGATGACGTAGTGCTTTTGTTTGTCCCCCTTAGATGGCCTAGAAATATTTCTAGGCCATCAGTAAAATTTCTAGGCCATCAGTACACACTCTCTCTCTCCCGTTTAGACATTCCTCGTTTAGCCCCGCCCCCTCCCTATCCCCGTGCACTTTTCTTTTTTTTTGTTTCTTTTCGTTATTTTTGTACTACGTTGTGAATATTCTAGAGATCTTGGTGATAATCTACATATACATAAACTATAAAAATATACATTTTTGAAAAAAGTTTATTCAATTGAATGACATAGTTAAATTACCGTAAACACTCTAATAGAAGGTCACCTACAACGCCAACTTTGAGCTCATGTATCTCAGTTCCTGTAAAAGATATGAAAAAAAGGACAATCGACAAAATGTTTTTAATGTTACGATAAACATTTTATCAGTTAACCACTTTTTGATATCTTTTACAGAAACCGAGTTATTTGTGCTCAACGTTAGGTGGGCTAAATGCTCGAATAGAAGCCCACTATACGTTCAATTCGAGTTCAAGTACAGAGTGGCGTTTAAAAGCCCACTCAAACCATTTTCGTTGAGCTCATATATCTTGGTTCCTACAAAAGATATTAAAAAGTTGTCAACGGAAAAATATTTTTGATATTCTGATAAACATTTTATCAGTTGACCACTTTTTCTTATCTTCTACAGGACCCGAGATATGTGGGCTCAAAGTTGGCGGATTGGGTTCATATTATGATGGTATACAAAAATCGAACTACGCAATTCACATGATTTTATTAAAAATTAGTCAAGAATTGAGCAGCAAAGCTCCGCCCAACATGTGAGCAGATAACTGCACGCACAGCACATTAGACAGCATTGGCAGCATGCACAGCACTCGCAGCAACACGAATTATCACGTTGTTGTTGTTGCTGATGGTATCCGGGTTGTTGTTGGTAACTGAAATTTGGACAGGTTTTTCAAAATTCTTCTGTTAATTTCCATCTAAACCTGTTAAAATTCCCATATACAAATATGTCTTGTCACTGGCTTTAAAATGAGCATAAACACGCCTAGGCTCCGCCCATTGTGAAACTTTGAGTTTAAAGGCGCATGGGGATCAGAATGATTCAAACTAGGCGAAGCCTAGGCGTCTATATACTCATTTTGAAGCCCGAGCGATGAGCAATGGATATAACTATGCTTTGTTGACTTTGAAGCAAAACTGACTGAGTTACGGTATTTCAAATGTTTTGATTTTTGAATTTTCTTTTTCTTTTTTCAGAAAAAAACCAATTTTTGTGGAATTCTCAGATGTTTTCAATTAACAAGATTCCTAAAATACCATTATTTTGAAATTGAACCTTTCTCATCTAGATTTGATTGCACATACCGTAAGCGCTCTAATAGAAGGTAACTCAACTTTAAGCCTCTTTGAAAGATATGAAAAAGGGGTCAAGTGACAAAATGCTTATCATAATACCAACAACATTTTATAAGTTAACAACTTTTTGATATCTTTCACAGGAAGCGAGATATGTGGGTTCAAAGTTAGCGATATTAGTAAGAACCCCACCCAAACCGTCAACTTTGGGTTTATCTATCTCTGTTCCTGTAAAAGATATTGAAAAGTTGTAAACTGACAAAATACTTATCACAATATCACAAATGTTTATCAATTTATCACTTTTTGATATCTCTTATAGGAACCGAGATATATGGGCTCAAAGTTACCGGTCCGGGTGGTATTCTATCAGAGTGTTTACGGTTGCTCCTGTATGCTATTGTGCTGCTAAAAGTGGTGGAAGAAAAAAACTGGTGGCAGTGGCCGAAGTTTCCAAAATGAAAACTGCAGTAACCTAAAAATATTCTTACTTTCCTGATTTGTTATCTCACTTTTCGTTCGTTTTCAGTCAATTTTTTCAAAAATTGATAATTTGCGACTTGTTTTCGGAGAAAACTCGACGAAAATCAGTAAAAAACGAGAAAATAAGTCCTAAAAATATAGCGATTTTTAGGTTACGGTAGTTGTCGTTGTGGGACCTTCGGCTAGGGCCACCGGCGTTTCTTTTGAACATTTCCGTTATTTTTCGTACTAGAATAACAAACTGAAACAAGATTTCTCAAACATTCCAGAAAACGAAAATCAACTTATTAATTTGAATTTGTTATTGGAATTTTTTATCTTCAAGGAATAATTAAATAAAAATAGCTAACATGATAATCGGCTGCTGGTTTGGATACGGTTGTTGTGTGAACACTTGGCTTCCATTAGGACCGTACGATGGATGTACTGGATACGACATTTTAGCGAAAAATATATTTTTTCTAGAGAAGAATAGAAGAGTCGGGGAGAAAAAAAAAGACTAGTGAAGTGAAGCCCCCGAGGCGAAAAGTTGCGGCGTGGATGAGTCTCCTGGCAACCGTTTCTCTCCGTTTTCACCAAAAAAATTTGGTTTGGAATTTTGATTTTTGACCTGATCTCAGTGTATGAAAAGGAAAAAGAATGAAAAGGAATCGGAGGTAATATGCGAGAGAAACACCTGGATGAAGGTTCCACAACGACAAATACAGTAATCTAAAAAATAATTTTAGTTTCCGGATTTTGTTATCTTGATTTTTTTGGTTTTCTATTGATTTTCGTCGAGTTTCTGTCATTTTCCCCTTTGTCATCTCTTTCTTATTCAAATTTCCCTCGCTTTCCGTCTCCTCGGCCACCTCCTCATTTCCTCGGCCGCATGTCCTTTTTTCTCTTCCATCTCCGTAAAATCATGAATTTCGAGCCAAACACCAGCAAATCAACACAATGCGAGATTTGTGGACGATTTTTAAAATCAGAAGATCATCTGAAACGACACGAAAAGACGCACGATGAAGCGGAAAGGTTAGAATTGCTCTTATTCCAAAGGAAAATTCTTTAAATCTTGAAGAAAACTCGAATGCACCACGTGCCAGAAGAAGTTTCACAGTGCGGAGCTATTGAGAAAACATCAGATTGTGCATAGAGTTCCAAAGTGAGTCAAGGGATTTTTAAGCTGAAAAATGTGTGATTTTGCTTCCAGAAAATCGATAAAATGTGATTTCTGTTCGAAATCGTACAGCTCGAAGACGGCGCTGTCGAAGCATTTGAGAACGCATAGTGCTGTGAAAAGGTTCGTTAAGCTGCTTATTTTCTGTGAAATTTGAAATTTACCGAATTAAAAAAAAATTTGTCCGATTTTGACTGATTTATCCTTTTTTTGGCAAAAATCAATATATTCCAGATTCACCTGTCCCATCTGCTTCACCTCGTTCGATCTGAGCGATCCGTTCAAAATTCACCTCCGGAAACATGACAATCTGAAGCCATTTGGATGCAGTTACTGCTTCAAACAGTTTTCCTCTCGATCCGTCTGCCGCCGTCACGTTCAATTGATGCACGAGAACCAGAAGGAATCAGGGACGACGGAAGAAGAAGCGGCGGAAGAGAGAAATTCAAATTTATGTGACAGTCAAGAATAAACTGAATAAATTTGCTATTTTTCTGGTTGTTTTTTTCAGATTTTGACGGTGTTTCTCATGAATTTGCAGTTAAAAAATAGGAAAAAATGGCAAGAATCCGAAATTTTGAAAGAAATCGGCAGATGTGCGGAATGAGCTTTTCGAAATTTCCGGACTTTCAGAAAATTCCGAATATATTGTCGAATTAAAAAAAGTGGCACCTGAGAATTTGAAAACTTTTGCTTTTTTTGATCTACGAAAAAGTGCGGGAAAAACGTAATATTTCAGAATTTCGGCTCGTTCGAGCTACTTTCGTGTTTCATTTTAGTTGTTTGCTTAAAAATAGATTCTAGAGATGCTAGCGATCGTTTTTATATCAAGAAATCAACATTTTGTTCAGAAAATATCACTAAATTCACATGAATAAATTTGTTATCTACATTATCCGTTTTCGCTCCGCCCCCTCGTAAATCGACACGAGCGCCGTCTCCGAGATTTTCAGGTGTCACTTTTTTTTAATCCGACAATATAACGGTTTTTCACTAGAAATCTCGCTTTCCCATCGCAAAAACGCGGAGAATTGGTGAAGAATTGACAGGCAGATTTCGAAAATCAAAAAAATTCAAAACGTAATTCCGCTCGAAGCCCGCAACTAAATTTTTAGTGTGCGCCTTTGATATACCGTAGTCTGAAAAGCGAGAGCACACCAACTGGGAGGAAAAGAAAAAGTGGGAAGAACCATCTGGGAGAAAAAATGGGCGGAGCCTAAT